TGATTGCTGGATCTCAAGCCGGTGGTTTGATTGGAGTTTCAGGTCAAAATATAGTGAACTTAAGGAATACATCCGGAGCAGCTATCACTGTCCTGTCTCCTAATCAGTTGCCTCCATGTGCATCTGCACACGAATCTGATCGAGTTGTTCAGGTACGTTTTCAGGAGATTTTGGCATTAAGCAGATTTTAAAGATGGATATATTGCTTGTTTTACTTTTTCACCTGTGACTTGTATCCGTTTATAAAATTGTTCTTTCGGCATGAAGTTGCTGGTTTAGTATTTATTTATGAGACATCTTGAACATACTTGAAGAAGAGAGTTGTTCTGTCAAGGGAGTCTCCTCACAATAAACTTCAAAAAGAACACTGGATATCATATGCCATATCGGTTGTTGCCTTCATTAAATGAAAAAATAAAAAATAAAAAAATAACCAATCAGTGATTGGTAATTTACTTATGTGAGATAAAGTAGAATTATTTGAGAATTTTGCTTCACCAGTTAGCCTGCGTTCTCAGTTCAATATCTTGAGTTTGTTTTCTTCTATTTTACAGTAGTCAGATATGTTCATTTGTTGTATTGATCTTGCAGATATCAGGAGAACTTCCTGCAGTTTTGAGGGCTGTTGTGGAAATTGGGCGTCAACTTAGGTGCAGATTTATAATGGTTCTAGTTTATATGTTTTTAATGACTACTGTTTGGCTATTTTGTAATGTATCTGCTGCTTTTCAATTATAGGGATAATCCACCTAAACAGGTAATATCTGTCAACCCAACAAATAACACTGGCTTTCGTCGCCAATCGCAACATTATGTAGATCCTAATTCAGGTCATTAACGTTTGCAAAATATGTGATGCATTTGATTGCTTTATTATTAAACAACTTATCAATATCCTTGAGATAATATCTTGCAGGTAGTTATGTAAATCTGGATGTCATGGTTCCTGAAAATCTTGTCGGCGGTTTGATTGGAAGGTTTGGCGCCAACATATCAAGGATCAGAAACGAGTCTGGAGCAAATATTAAGGTAACTTTTAGTCATTACTATGAAGTTCGTGCTAATAAGTAATAATAGCTGAACTCAATGCCTGATCTCCATGGGGTCGTTGCTTGTACTCGTATTTGGTGCTTTCTTTTATTTTGCAGGTTTATGGTGCGAGAGGTGAACAAACACAAAGGCAGATCCATTTAGGTGGTAATGCTCAACAGGTATACACAACCTTATTTGCTTCTATTCTTCAAATTACTTTTGTAAATTCTACGTGCCTTTAATGTGAATTTATATGGGAATTAATATAATCATTCAAGAACTGGAGCTTAATAATGCTAACAAGTAGTCTGAAGAGATCAATTAATTAATTAATTCACAGTGAAGAAAATAAGATCGTCTTATATTCCCTGCATAAGAAATTGAACTCTCAACTCTGAACGGCTTGATCTTTTATGATACGAGATGTGCAATACATTCTTGATGCCAAAGTTCTGTTTGGTAGGTTGCTCTTGCCAAACAACGAGTTGACGAGTATGTGTATGCCGAGTTGATGAGACAAACTGGAGGACAACTGCCACCAAGTGCTGTTCAGTTTCAGCAAATTCCTAGTCAACAGCCAGTGTAATTTTTTTAATGCTTTGCTAATTTTTGTAGTTATCACTCGTAATTAGTCTAATTGCTCAATTATTTTTTTCTACTTTCCCAGGCCCGATTCGTCGAATGCTCTATACCAAAGTTATGCACATCCTCATGCCCTATACACAACAAGGTCTACATTTCACAGTACCCAGTTTGTAAAACCTGGGATCCAAACAAAGAACAAAACAAAGAAAGAAAGAGAATAATTTCATAAAACGGGTGTAGCTTATGGAGTTTAATCAACATCATCAACATCAACATACCCAGTATATTCCCAACAAGTTGGGGTCTGGGGGTCTGTTGTACGCAGACCTTACCCTTGTAATTATACAAGGAGGCTGTTTCCATAGCGACCCAAGGTTCGTTGCGTCGTTTGATATATTTTTTTTTTCTAGAAACTTCACTAATAGAAGAAGCACTAGAATTTAATTGAGCCATTTTGATCTAGTTCATTATTAGCACTATGCCAGGAGAATTGTCAACAATCACTCTTCCAGCTCCATATTTTTGTTTTTGCAGTAATCAAGAATCTGGGTTGATGACGGCAATTCCTCCAATATATGGAACCACAGCAATGAACCAGGTGCCACCGTATTATGACCCTAAGTCATATCCTGCTCCGCAATTGTAATATGTTTTCTTTTTTTGTGACTTTTGCTCGACCTTTATAGTTTGCATGCTTTCTTACAACAATGTTAAATCGAATATTAGAAAATCCGAGTTTATTGAAATTTTAATACGAATATTTTTTCATGTAAAGCTAAAAATCATTAGCTAGACCTAAACATGCAGTTAAAGGTGCAATAACCTCGTCATCATTAACAGCTAGACACTAACAGCTCGGCCTTGTGTTAAGTAGCTCGGCCCTGTGATAAGCAGCTCGGCTTTCACAACAAGAGTACTACTAATAGCTCGGTCAAAGGGTAAAGGGCTCGGTCAGAGGTAAAGTGCTCGGCCGAAGGATATTTTGCGCGGATTCAAGGATATTGGCTCGTCTCAGGGGTGATAGCTCGGTCTAGCAGTAGTTGGGCCGGATGTAATTGGGCTGGACAACAATTGTTACATTAGTTGCTCGGCCCATTTGTGTTACTAGTAGCTGCTCGGCCTAGTAGTTGCTCGGACTAGCAGCTCAGTCTGCAACGGGTTCGGACCAACAACTCAATAAGCCCGGCATACAATTGTTTGCTATATAGCAGGCCCAAGGATGAGGAATTACAATAAGAGGAGCGATTGGATACATCAAGAAGGGCTCGGCTGGCTCGGCCTGTCGTCAGTATTATCAAAACAAAGTCTATTTAGTCTAAAGAACAATAGCTTATTTTGATAATGGGTGGACTAGATGATGTAGCCCATGAGAGTGATTCGGTAAATTAGAAGACATTTGCTCGACTTCATAGGAATTATTCATCTACGGCATAAATAAACAGCTCGGCATTACAAGCAGCTCGTCATTGTTAGTAGCTCGGTATTATGAGTAGCTCGGTATTATGAGTGACTCGCCATTATTAATAGTTCGACATGATTAGTAGCTCGCCATTACTGGACGCTCGGCACCATAGATATTGATATAATATATAAGAATGGCACGGTTTAACCGGAGTTATTTGGCTCGGATCAAGTAATGAAGCTCGGCTAATGGTGAGTTGGGCTTGAGGACAACTTTAATTGCTCGGCCTGATGAGAAGCCTAGTAGCTGCGTCTGATATATGCTGCTCGGCCCGCTGAAGAATAGGGGCTGCTCGGCCCATACGAGAGCCTCATTAGCTCGGCCCGTTGAGGAGTGGGTTGTTCGGACCATTTAGGAACTCAATAGTTCGGCTATTGAGTTACCGAGCTGATTTATGAAACACAGTAATAACTCGGCTCATATGATATAGCAGCTCGGCTTAAGTGTCATATTATTAATTGCTCGGCCTAACGATAGCATAAGCTCGGTATTATGATTCCAAAAGTTCAGCGGGATGGTAGTAAAATCCAAAATAAGCAACCAAAAGGTCCAATCAAATAGCCGGCTAATTTCAAGTAGAAATTCGGATGGCCAGAAAATTCAAATAATAATAATAATAATTAAAAAAGAGAGGTAGAAAGCAACAATTGAAAAGGAGAAAATTATGAAATGCAACGAAAATGAGAGGAACAACGAAAACGAAGAACACGTACCACC